CCTCCCTGACCACAAGACCAAGTCGCGACAATGAGGTCAACCCACTTCTAAACTTATATTTTGCTCAAAGTAAATTAACTCTGAATTGCTGAATACGCTATAACAGAGGTCACACATGGTAGCTGTCCCAGAACTGTATGTATTCCTTCAACAATTTGACATTTTAATGCTAATATATTTATTCTTTAAAGAGAAAACTTTGCTTTAGATGTCAAATAAGGCCTTAATTCTATTTTATTTGTCGGAATTTAAGCATTTTTGATCTGGAAATTTGCATAAAATATATAATATACGTGTCAATCTATACGTCGTAATGTATACTCTATTTATCACCAGCAATACCACATTGCTTTTCTCACTCCCTAAGACAAGGCAAGTTTCCACCTTCTTGATGTCTGCCACCCTCTTTCTGTAAAAGTATTTTAGGCATCGCTTGTCCTCGGCCAATTCAAACAGGACGCCATTTAATTAAAAAAATAACTAGTTTGCCTATCTACAATCAACTAGCAGGACATAAAGAGAATGGGGCTATTAAAAATAAACTGGAAGATTATTTTAGTTTGCCCTCTTGTCATGTGATTAGAAGATAGTGTCGCTTTAACTTTGAAGGCATTGTCTGCCTCACTGAAGGTTCCCAGACTCAATGATCAAGTTTATAGCATCCGTCTCTAGCTGGGCTTAGATGTAACACTTTAATTAGCATCAGCTCATTTCTAGTGAATACTTTCTGGCATAACTTGTCCAAAAGGTGTGAAAAACTTCTCTGGTGGCGTGCAGTTATTCATATACTGTCCTGAATAAGAATTTCATTATGCCTTTAAGGTTCCGTCTAGGCTCAAAAGTTAATGATGGCTCGGCTAAGGCTTCACTGTCTATTGTAGCAGCCATAACATGCGAATATTTATGCTCTGCTATCTGTTTTTTGCATCAAATCTATTCGCCATTAATTATGTGGACCTTTTCTCCTTTATTTGCTTAGGATAATGGCAGTTTGGATACCGTTTTTAGATCTCGATTAAACTTCGGATGATCAGAGGCAACTATAGCAGACTGTTCAGAATGACAATAAGATAAATTTTGATTTGTGCCTTATCGAGAATAAAGTCCCTTTTGTAGTCCATCCTTGTCAGTAGACCAAACATATTTATCTTAGCTTTCTTCTCATTAATTTTTACGATTGAGGACGTAGAGATGAGGCATTTCAACTTTTAAGAACTATTACTTTATCTGCTCATGTAGAAGTCAATAAAAATCTTGCTTCGATTGGAAAATTTAACTCTTTCCTAAAGCAAGACTCATTTAGAGTCTGAGACTAACATGCTTCTCATGCCATTGAGATCTCGAACTCGGGAAGGGTGGTTTCGTGAAAGACTCCTCCTCAAAGTCATTTAGCACTGGTGTAGGTTAGGGCTGTGAGTATGGCGAGTCCAAAATGAATTTGAATTGTTGATTAATTACACAAGCTTGTTTTAGCGTCAGCTGTTATAAGCAATTAATTTAGATCTATGAGACATCTAAATCAGTGCGATGATCTCAATAATCGTGACAACGAAGGTATGAATGAATGCTTTAAATGGGAGTTCACAGTCATAACAGTAAACTTAATTAGATGGAACTAAGGATTAGTACAATGCGGATTGACGTGACTCTGATGTTTCATGCCTATCGAATGTTGGCCAGGTAAGAGAAAGAAGCTGAATTATGAAAGTATCAGTATATTAGTTCAAAATTAGATACCCAAGAATATGGGCATTTTGCTGATTACCATGGCAACTGTATGCTTTCCTTATCGACGCAAGTGCCCGTATAGCAAGGGGATTTAGAGAAGCCTGGCTTGTCCTGAAAGTGACACCAGCTCTCGTAACTTCTAGGACTTGTGGATATGAACATGTTTATGTGTGTGTATCGAGTTGGCAACGCTTGTAGTCGACGCTCACGAACTGGTCGCGAAACTCGATTCCCTCGAGTACGACTTTAAGCAAAAAACCTAGTCCTCTAGTCTTTATAAATTATTAGGCATTTATCCTAATTTGGCTAAATTCTGTTAAGGGCATCACAAAGTAAATTCTCAACTCCTAACAAAAGCTTATTTTCCTTTTGCATGACCCGCATTTCCTCTGTGCCAGCCTGCAACCTGATCAACAAAGAGGTCAAACGGACGAGCTGTGTTGGTGATGGAAAGCTGAAGTACATCCACCTCCGCTGGGAGCTGAAAGACGACAAGTGCGTCAGTAGAGAGGAAACCAAGTTAACCAACATCGGTAGGTCTCTCGAGTTTGTGAGCTCGTTCAGAGTGATTTTGATTTGTCCATTTCGACCATTCTTCCCCCGATGGAGTGGCAATATCCCCAATGGGGACAAGCTCGAATATGCTAGTTCCTGACGGATCCCTTACAGCACACTTTTCATTCCTTTTTACGGATTCTGGACAGATTTTCCAGGAGATTTTAGCATTTGAGTATTGACATCCTCTCTGCTATCGCCTCATCTCTGGTCTCCAGCTGGACCGATAATTCAAGTAAAGTGCTATTTCCAGGATTAAGCGACTAAAAGTATCATTTTGTATGCTCAGTTTTTGACGTTCGGATACAAATCTCTCTGGGACCAGACAGTTGAGCCATAAATCAAGGTCGTTAGACCAGATACACGTTCTCGTTTGATAAGTATGCAGTCGAGACAACCAGTAGATCTCGCATAGAGGTTTTCACTGAATTTAATATATCCTTGCTTTCATAAAGATATTCGCATACCTTTTGGGAACTAGGGCCATATTAAATTCAATGAAAACCTAGAGTCTACTCATATGATTATGGAAAAATTCAACAACCACTCCTTCATCATCTTAACGAGATCG